GTGGGCACACAAATTTAATGTACTCGTACATACGTATGTATGTGTTGGTTTTAATTAAAATCGTAGAAAAAGGCGTACAATTAATGGAACTGTATGGTGGTGATGGGGCCAAAGAAAATTGTGGCGTAAAAACGGGATGAGTAAACCAAAGTGGAAATAAAAAGTGCCCTTAAATGATGTGCCGACGATAAAATGGCTCAACAGCGCTGGTGGACATGAATTTTGCACAAAATAGACCTGCCTTTTTTTCGTATAATTACGAAATATATTGTATATATAGACATATGAGGGGATTGACAAAAGTTCGGTAAGTTGCCAAGAAAAAAAAAATCAAATAAAACAAAAAAAAATCTTTGCCATTTTGAATCTTCTCTACTTCATCGCCATTAATTCAATGCGTTTCCTAAGCCTATAGATACATTTTCGAAAACAGTCTTCAAAATCTTACTCTTCAAGCTTATCAAGTTTAGGATAAACCGCATCAATTATCTCCTCGTTGCTATTAAAGACCTTTCTTTTTCAGTTTTTGTTTTAATCTCTGAAACTAACCAGACACCACAAGGTGCTATAACCGGGGAATATGGTGCTGGGCGTATTTCTTTGAACCCAGAGGTCGCTATGAAATTACTCGTTTCTTCCTTTTTTCCAAAAAACTATTTTTTAAAACTTTTGGTAAGCACTCTTCGGTGTACCATTTTGCAGTTATTGTCTGCCCCTTTTCCAATACATTTTAAATCGGGTGAGGTAAACTGACATCATTACTTTTTCTGCTGATTTTTGTGGTTTAGATTTTACGGGTGGGCTTGCTCGTGTTGGGCTCCAACCATGGGCTACTTTTTCGTTTCTGGATCGAACTTATAGAAAAAAGATTCGTCACCAGTAACGACTTTTCTAAAGTTGCTGGACTGACGATTTTCGAATTTGTTTAGGAAAAATTTAAGAAAATGCACTCGAACCTATTTTTGGGCCTCATTTAAAATTCGTGGTACCCATCGAGCGGATTTCTTAGTGTATCCCACATGAGTACTTAATATTTACGATAGAGCCATGAAATTCGAGCCCAACTTATTGGCAATCATTTCTTGTGTCAATCGTGAGTCTTTGTCAATTTTGGTATTCACCAGAGCTACAGTGACGTCATCAGTGGAAGATTTTGGTCGACCTTCTCGGGGCTCGTCCTCTAGGGAAAAATTTTCGGCCTGGTACTTAAGAACCACTTAAAATAGTCTTTAAAGACGGTGCAAACATTCCCTATGCAATTCAGCATTCACTGAATATTTGTATTGGCTGTAAATTACGCCGAAACCCGAAGAGAATCACATGGCGAGTTTCTGTTATGGTTGGTGGTGAAATTTCGTCTGACTTATCTTTAACTATCTTGCGTTTTCTAGTCTCTATTTTAGCCGATCGGTCTACTAAATTTGAATTAAGAACTAACAAAGTAACTTTTAGATTTAATTAAAAAACAAAAACAAATTAAAAGTCACCAACTAATCGATCTTTTATTGATCCCCTCGTATATATGTACATATGTACATATAAATTAGATATTCATGGGTTGTTAGATATAGGAAATTAGGGTGTTAACAAAAATAATACCGAATAAAATTCAGTCTTATAAAGAGAGCTAATTATATCCAGAAAAGTGTAGATCTAAAAATTTAAAAAATAATAATAAAAAAAAATTAAAAAAAAAAATAAAATAAAAAATAAAAAAAAATATTTATTTTAGAATAAAATTTATAGTTTTTAGTTACATTTAAAACATGTGAAATTTCCTATAGGTCTGCGTGCAGTTAAATGCATTTATATACATATATATACGAGTAGGTATGTACGAGTATTGAAGGACTCACTGCGCTGTTATAGAATGAGAAGGGATATCATAGCAAAAAATGAATAAAAATAAATGTTGTACGCGCATAAATTATGGTTGGGCATCGTAAATTGCCCCATAAATGAGGCAAATAAATGTTTACATACATACATTTGTATATACATATTCCCCTACATATGCACATCCTATTCGAAGAGGCGGTCAAACAAATTAAAACGTTAATGTTTTATGGTTATTAGGAATATAAAATGAATATTACTCCTTTAACTTATTTTGGAATGCATAAATCTCGACTTTTTTTCCTTTGAAATATGAACACATTGAGCGTGAGAGTAGAAAAGAGCTTAATGTTAAATTTTCGTAAAAGGGTCATATTTTTAAATTATGTTTAATATAGTGGACTTTGCACCTTCTAGTCTTTCTGCAGTTCATATTATTTTAACCAGAAATAATTTAAAGTCGGTACACGAAATTCACCATACTCTAGGCATCGGTTGCTAGATTACCTCTTTTAATCCAACAAAACTTAGCTTAGCCTTTGTAACCTTCTTTGAATGGACTAGTTTTTTTTCGTAGGATTTTCGAGCATTAACCTTGTCGACCGGCTTCTCAAGCTCCTCATACTTTCGTATCACTCTTTGTTTTGTCTGTACATTCTCCTTGCTCTGGGCGTGGGCAGCCTATTTTCTCTTCACTACCAAGACAAGTCGAGGAGTTCATAAGTGGCTGCAATTGCACAATGTCGATTTCTTTTTATCTCGAACATATTATACTAACTATTCAAGTCGATTCGAATAAAAGTTTCAGAGATAAAGCGTGTTTTTTCGAAACGATTTCGATTTTCGATTGTCAAATATTCTCGATAACTACTCAACCGATGTAGTTGAAACGACTTAAATGTCTTCTAGATACAATTCACGTGGAATTAGATGAAGGATTGTTTTTTAAATCAAAAATCAACAAACGTTTCGGAGGAACTATAAAGAAATATTCCGATGTTAGATTATTGAACGGCCGAAAATGGCTTCACCTCAGATTAAAGAATATATTGTACACGGTGTGTCCCACAAATACCCAAACTTTTTGGATATAAAATAAAATACACATTATATTATCTTTGAAGGTTATTATTTATTCAAAATAGGTTCCATTTGACTCAACACAACGTTTGGAACGATCAGCCAGCGCATGCATAGATTTTTTTACGTCATTTATAGAAATCTTCTTCAGTACCTCGGCTACGGCTGCTTGAATGGCTGGGATATCATCATTAAATGCTCCCTTCAGCTTGGTTTTCAGTTTTGGAAATAAAAAATAGTGACATGGTGATAGATCAGGCAAATACGGAGGATGGTCGTTGAGAGAAATCCCTTTTTTCATTAAAAAATTCCGAGCGTTTTTTTGGTCGTCATTTAATTCATGTGGCACAAATCGCGCGCAGGACTGACGATTTCCCCAAATCTTCAGTTAAAATTCTCCAAATAGTGTTTTTACTCGTATTCAATTCCTCGGCAAACATTCTAACATTCTCGTAGTAAAATTTGCATCGATTCAGCACGATTACTAGATTCAGGACGTCCTGCTCTAGGGTCGTCATTTAAATCCTTACGACCATTTTTATATCGTGTAAACCACGTATAAACTTGGATACGACTTATACAATCATCACAATAAACTTTTCTCATTAATTTTTTTTTTTTCAAGTTTGACACAAAATTTTATATTTGCTCTTTGTTGCATTTGATTTTTGAACCCTTAGCACACTTTTAGTTTTATTGAAATGGCTGTCACTTTTACATCTGTCATCCGACTTACATGAAGTTAGGTGCGTTTGAAAGAGGATGAATGTATCTTTTTAATGTTGCAAATTTTTAATAGATGGCGCTGTATGTTGTACGATTTAAATATAAAGTTCGGTTATTTTTCGGACACATCGTGTATGCATTAATTTGTGCGGTTTTCTAAGAGAGGGCTCTACTAGTATTATTTCGCGTCGTGTTCATCTGTGGCTATAATTATTTGAAAGGTGTTGTCGTTTCGCGTCGTTTTCAGTAGATGTCATTCGTTTTAGCGTGAACAACATTTTGTTTCATTCATTTGAAAATGTCGAAATTTGTACCAGATAAATAGTTTTTGCGGGGAGTTCTTTTTTTCATTACTTTAACATGAATAACAGTGCTACCGAAAGCCATCGTATTTTACTGGACGTTTATGGTGACTATGCTTTAGTCAAACGAACGTGCCAAAAGTGGTTTTCACGGCTTAAAAGTGGCAATTTCGACTTAGACCACGGAGAACAAACCGGACAGCCAAAAAAATTTCAAGACGAAGAATTGGAGACGTTACTCTACGCTGATGCATGCCAGACGCAAGAAGAACTTGCAAAAATATTAGAAGTTGATCAAGCATCCGTTTCTAGACGATTAAAATCATTAGGATTCATCCAGAAGCTTGGAAGTTGGGTGCCTTATGAATTAAAGCCAAGAGACGTCGAACGTCGATGCTGCATGTCGGAAATGTTGCTTCAATGACACCAAAAGAAGTCATTTTTGCATCGGATTGTCACTGACAATGAAAAATGGATTCATTATGATAACCCAAAGCGCAAGGGATCGTATGTAAAGCCCGGCCAACCAGCGACATCTACGGCAAAGCCGAATATCCATGCTGCCAAGGTTATGCTATGTATTTGGTGAAACCACAAGGGTGTGCTCTATTATGAGCTATTGAAATCGGGTCAGACGATCAATGGAGACCAATTGATTCGTTTGAAAAAGGCCATCGTGGAAAAATGACATGCCACATGTTGCAAGACCATTTAAAAATAGTTCGGAAAACTGTGGGTGGGAAGTTCTACCTCACACGCCTTATGGCCCAGACATAGCACCTTCGGATTACCACTTGTTCAGATCACTGCAGAATGCCCTCACCGGAGTACGCTTCACTTCAGAACAGGTTATCAGAAATTGGCTCGATTCTTTCTTGACCTTCAAGCAGGAGAAGTTCTTTTGGGATGGGATCCACGAACTGCCCGAAAAATTGGCAAACATCGTAGTCTCCGATGGTCAAAACTTTGTATAACTAATCCCAGTATTTAATTTAATATTATTTTCTTTTTTTTTTCGACCATTCTTATGATATTTTTTTTTATTTTTATTTTCAGATTGCACCAAAATTTCCAGTCTGCAAGTAAGTGCCTTGATCTTGTATGAAAAACTTATTATGCTAAGTATATATTCTTATGTATTCCTAACAAGTGAGTGCAGTGAAGACTGAGTTGAAGCAAGACTGAGCGTTAGATACCCGGGTAATATTTATATAAAGTCGAAACTAGAATGTCAGCCACTTTTGGCAGGACTTTAATGTCCATTGAAAATGGAGCATTTGCCAGGCTTTGTTCTGCTGTTTAACGTCTAAATATAATCCATCTAAGGTTTAACGCCACTGTATACGCCACAAAAAAAAAAACAAATGTCTTGAAGAATTTTTTTTTTTAAGAAAGGAAAGGAAATACAATTTTAATGATTTTTCAAGTTATTGGTCTTATATTTAAATGAAAAAATACAAAATTCACAATACAAAAAATAGCAAAATTGAAGAATCGCAAACATTTGCTTGTTTCTTTGAAGAGGTCCGTGGCATCCAGCTCAGAGGATGGAAAATTGAATCTTAAACAACAAAACAATTTTCTTTTAATCAACATGAAATTAGCTGGAGAATCACGGAGATATTTAAAAAAATTTGGTTTTTTTTTACAATTCGCAAGCATTTGAAGAATAACCTCTTTTTTTGAAGAAAAACTCGGCACATATTTATTTATAACAATAATTTCAAAATAAAGTTTAGCACAAAGGTATTGTTGTTGTGTGTAATGATAATTATTAAATTTTACAAAAATCTGTATAGAAGTTTCTCAGATATTCTTCTGGGCAATAAATTGTTGTTGGTGTCATGCCCACCCGATACTTTATTCCAGAACTCAAATTTTCCATATGACACGATTGTCTTTCACAATAATGAACGCAATTTTCGCACTCTAAAATATTACCGTTATATGTGAGATTGGCGGCCGCGGTAGCCGAGTGGTTAGCATTGCGTACTGCCATTCGGAATGCTCGGGTTCAAATCCAAAAAGTTATAGACACTTAATTTATATAAAAAATATAATTAAAATTTCTCAATGCGTTCGCCCCTTAGAAGGGGTCTCAAGAGAGTATTTCTGACATGAAATGAAGCTCCACATAAAAACTCGTCAGCCGTACGGAGGCATCTTAATATAAACTGTCGGGTACCACTATTGGTTGGGAAAACATCAATACGCAAAACCACAAATTGGAGGAAAAGCTCGACCGAAAATCGCAATAAATAAATAAGTTCGTCTCGTCATTCCATGAAGTTTGTTATTAGTATGTACAGGGCTAACCATTTTGCATTTTCGAAAATAAACGGTAAATAAACTGCTTTTCTAATAATTCTCTTCATGAAAATCCTTTTTTATTATAAATTTGGAATCTTGGTATTAAGAAACACTACATCCTTCAAATTATAAACAAATTTTTGTGAACCTCGATCTGCGTAAATAATTTTTGACCACTTTTGGGCATATATTTGGACGGTATCTCAAACATAACTTGTGGAAGTTAGGTTTTCAATTGCTCAATGGTTAAGGGTTTATTCGCATAAGCACGGTCCTTTTACGTAGCTCCACAAAATAAATACCAACGGTGTCAAATCGTAGGTTCTCGGTGGTCAAATGAGAGATTACGTGGCTGTGAAATTTCTATTGCAATTAAACCATATTCCTACGTGTTGTGTGGCATGTGGCAACATCTTAATGGAACCACATATTATCCAGGTCGTGTTCTTAAAGTCAGAAAATTTGGCGATCATAGAACTATAATGCTCCGAATCGACAATGACAGTGACAGTCTCGCCCTTGTCGTTTTCAAAGCAGTAAAGTTCAATCACACCTCGACACCAAAGAGCGCATCCGACAGTAAGTTTTTTTTTTTTTGAGTCTTATTTACTCTCTGCAATTATTTGAGAATTCTCGGCGGCCCAAAAGCTACAATTTTGTTCATTTACGCATCGCCGAGTGAGAAATGTGCCTCGTTGCTGAAGAAAATTTTGCTCGAAACATTGCCGTCCACGATTTCTTGTTCAAGCACTCAATCGACGTTTGTACGTGTTTCAGTTGTTGCCTAAGCTGGACTTTATATGGATGTATTGTAGGTTTAAGGCCAGAGGCAAAATACGCCATAACACGACGTAAGAAAGTCCCAGCTCTTGAGAACGTCGAGAAAGAGACAACATTCGGTGCTTCGGCTACACTTTCACTTAACGAGTACAATAGCGACAATTGAGATGTAACGAGCGCTGATGCACAGACCTTGCCAAATCTATAACCGTTGCAGTGTCTTAAAATTTCTTTAATTATGTGCACCGTAGTCTCCTCTAAAAGCACGTTTCAATTATCATTTTTGTAGCAAGTTTTTACGCTTTAAAAGCGTTGAGGGATTGTTTAGCGATCCATTTTTATAAAAGTCGATCTTTTAACTAAAACAAAACACGTTTGGTTTGACAGTTAAATTGACAGCTGACAAAATACAACTCTGTACTTTTGAAACTACAATATTGACAAACTTATGAACTTGCTTTCTTTTCCAATCTACACAGTACAGTGGGACATAAAATATTTGACCCATTGTGTCTTATAACAATGTACGGTTGTATGTATGTGTGTGTATGTGTGTCTATGTGTCTATGCCTACATACATGTATGTAGTCACACGAGCTCTAATGTATGCATATTTTGAATAGTCTGAAATTAATTTCACCGAGACTTGAGTTCAAGGGCAGATTTTTTAAGTAAGTGATGGCTTGATGTTTGCAAATAATTTTGCATTTTTATATATGAGTCAGTTACGAATATTTTGTTTTGTAAGTCACCTTTACATATGTATGAATACATACAGCTGTACAGAATACATTGTATTTATTTTTCACATCACTCGCTTAATTTTCCTTTATTGACATAAAAACTTGACGCTTTACATGCATACATATTTACACAAAATATATTTAAAAGTACATATGTATGTATGTACATATTTTTCACGTACAGCTTTAGATATTTTACTTACTCATTTGTAAAAAAAATTGTGTTGTTTTTTTTCAAGTGATAAGCGCATGCTAATTTTTTGAAATTCTCAACTCGTTTGTTTAAGCGTATTTCTCAGCTTTTCAAGTCAGTATTTTTTTGTTCTTCTCAGGACAAATGTGACTCATAAACACATCATTAATTGCGGCTGCGGCGTAAAAAAGCGTGTTGCTTTAATGAAATTTGATCACGAATTTGTTTTCAAAAACATGAAATTTGCTGAAATGTGTCATTAGAACATCAAAAAAAAAAAAAAAAAAAAAAAAAAAAAAAAAAAAATAAAAAAAAAAATAAAAAAAAAATAAAAAAAAAAATAAATAAATAAAAAATCTTTCAAGCAAGCTTTGTGCAAAATCTAATCAAAATGTACATAAGAGGGTATTAACAAAAGTTCGGTCAGTTGGCGACTTTCAATTTGTGTTTGTTAAATCTAAAAATACCAAATGCTTTGCAATTACTTTATCAGTCTTCCTTTCACATTTTAGGACGAACGTCTATAATGGAAATGAGATAGCTGAGGATAGGTTAGGCGAAATTCCATCACCAATCCAAACAGAAATTCGCCATGTGATTCTCTTTACAGCCAACACCAAGTTGCATAGGGAATGTTGGCAGCGTCTTTAAGGACTATTTTTCTAAGTGGTTCCTATGTTCCAGGCCGAAAATTTTTCCCTAGTGCAAGAGCCTCGAGAAGGTCAAGCAAAATCTTCCACTGATGACGTATCTTGGTTCCATAAGTACCATACAGAAACCAAACAAAACAGCAGTTCATAGTATGGAGCCCGCTCAGGAGCAAACCCACCACTAAAATCTAAGAAACAGCAGTCAGCAGAAAAAAAATGATGTCAGTTTACTTCGCCCGATCTAAAATTCAATGGAAAAGAGTCGGACGATAACTGCAAAATGGTACACCGAAGAGTGCTAACCAAAAGTTTTTAAATATTTGTAGGAAAATCGGAAGGAAGGGGATTTACGGTGCTACTTTTTACATTATGACAACGCGCCATTCCACGCTGCTGTAATAAAGAGTAATTTCATTGTGATCTCTGGATCAGAAAAATTCTAAATATTAAAAAAAAATTTAAAAGGAAAAAAGGGTCTCTAGGAGAAGATAATTAATGCGGTTAATGGTGAATTTGATAAGCTTAAAAAGCAAGATTTTAAAGACTGTTTTCAGTAGGGGTTCTATAGGCTTAAGAACTGCATTGAAATCAATGGCGACTATTAAATCTTAAAGAATCTGAAAAAATTTCTCTCTCATGAAATTTTGTGCGTGAAAACTGCAAGTAATCAATATTTACTGCAGCAAAACTTATTGGAACCGTAACAGTTTCTCTCAGTTGGTGAAAATTTTTGTACCGTCTTTATGAGAACTAAAATCTTTTTCAATCCATCAAGAGTAAAAAAAAACTGTGAATTTTCAAAGAATGTCATGACAAAAGTATTGATGATGTCTGTAAATATTCGGGACTGAAAGAGTCGAAGATTATCACCGTGGAGTCCTGACCTAAAGCTATAACTCGACAGATAAACATGGAATTTAAGAAGAGAAACCAGAAAAGTCTTACATAAATGTAAGCAGCAGAACAGAAGAAAGTAGAGCACGAGGATGTGAACTAGAAAGTTGCAGAGCAGCCAAAAAGCTATTTACTTCCAGAAAAAATCGGCTTAACCGTTTACAATTTGGTCGAGATAAACGATAACTGGACAGGGAAATAATGGTATACCGTATTTTTTGGTGATAAATATATAATATAATATAATATATGATTTGAAATATTCGAAAAGAATGAGAAGACTACGCTCATCAAACAGTGGGCACTGAGATCCTTCGTACTGTTAAGCTAGACGTATGTAAAATAATATTACGACCCAAAACACAACCCCAGTTGATAATATTAATATCCTTAAGTGGCCAGCTCAATTATCGGATCTCAAGGCAATTGATAATCTATGGGAGATAAATACTTGAAAGGAGAATGAACAGAGAAGGTGTAAAGGGGGGCAAAAAGAAACTATTTTAAGCTGC